CGCCCAATCCCCATTTTAAAATGTTTTTTGCAATTAAGTCTTCTTTGAAATTACACTTTCTGGTATCAACAGAGAATGTGAAACAAATATTTTAAGCATATTTATAGTTAAGAAATCTTCCTCTTATTTTTTCTCCTAGACAACAAGTGAAAACCGTTCGCTTTATCACATCCCGCTTGTGCAGATTTTTGCTTGTGCCAGTTGTGACTTGGCATCTGCTCTTTGCGCTTACTTTGAAGCTGCAACTCCTGAAATGACTGAAAAGCTTCCTGTGAACCTGATTGGTGAATGGAAAGAATTCTTTTCTGAAGGAATTCATAATTTACTGTTACCTTTGTTGGTGAAGGTCACAGGCAAGTATACAGCAAGGAGTGTAGTAGCGGTACCTCTCGGGCTACTCTGAAATAAAACTTGACAGGCCATATTTTTTGATTTATAGGAACAATATGACAAAATAGCTTATAAAAGCTCATCTTTTTTGAACACTTGTGTGCTATTTAGTAAAGTACTTTCACTTAACATTGTATCTTTTAAGATTAGATGTATTCTCATAACCAGTGTCGTAAGTTGTTTCTAGTAATGCTTGTTTAGGGTTATAATCCATACATTCAGTTTCACAGCTTGTCTTTCTCTGTTTTAAATAGGAGAAACCAAAAATGCATCTGAAGGCTCCTTTCAGAACTCTGTGTTAACGTCTTTGGGTGAAGCTCTAACATACATCTCGAAGGACCAGTTGTTAAACCATAAACTGCCAGCGAAGTTTGTTGCAGGCCAGAAAACAAATCTTCCAGACAAACTCCAGACCCTACTAAATACATTGTCTCCATTGTTGCTTTTCCGGGCTAGACCTGTGCAGATTTCTGCCTACCATATGTTGTACAAGTAAGAATCAACAAATTTCTCACTGTCCTCACCTTTCCCTCCACCTTCTTGTTTCTTTTTATTTACGTGGACTTGCAGATGTGTTTAACAAAGTCATGTTCCATTATGGTAGGAAATCTTTAACTAGGAAATTTGTGTTCTGTGTTAGAGAACATTATATAAAGCTATGAATGCTAAATTCAACTGTAAAAGTACACTAAATATGTACTGAGAAATTTTACTGTGGTACATGAGAATACCATTTTCTGTACCATTGTTACATAGATAACAGTATTATAACTATAAAGCTATTTATTTTTAGCCTCTGTTTTAACACTCGCAGAATCCTAAAATGTAAACTGAAATATTGCACTTGATCTGGGTCTGATGGTATCATTAAATGGTACGACCTTCTTATTTTCTTTAGTTTAGGAAAGAAAAATGAAGAAAGTGACTAAAACTGTGTAGTGTTCTTGTAAACTTTTTGGATATCTGTAATACCAGAAGATAAAAACCAGAATTTGAAAAGTAGAGTGTACTTTTGCTCAAAACGCAGATTGCAAGGCAGCATAAGAAACTACCGTTAACTTTCACTGATACTGAGGTGTAAAGTTGCAATAGCTTTATTCCGAGGTGGAGAAGTTATTTGAGGATGTTTTAGCAGTGTAAAAGATCTGGAAAAGAGCTGAGCAAGGCTACATGCTTGTTGGCTACTGCCATTCAGGAACCAAATTTGCAATGGTGACGTGTCTCTTAAAGGTTCTGTGTTGTTATTAAGGATAATGTGATCCTTGTGGTCCCTTTCAACCCTTTCTATGATTCTATGAATAATTGTCATTATTTTACTGCTTGTCATTCATGTTGACACTGATAAGCGAAGAACTATGGATACCATGTATGAAAACTAAGTCAGATTTCCTTTCCGTATTTCTGTAGATTGATGCCTGAATTGCCTGAATTTGATGATGAAGATCTCAAATCTTATGGTGATGAGGAGGAAGAATCAGCATTGTATGTATTTTTTCCTCTTTTTTTTTTTTTATGGCTGTTTTCCATATTTTTAAAATGTGTTACAGGAGTTGAGATTTGCAGCAAGGTAGTCGTCTGTCGGGAGATGTTAAAAGAAAAAAAATGACATGGCTATGACAATAGGGTCATAAATATTGAGCATATTCAATACAATTGGTTAAGTCTGCCTTTGTGCTAACACTGGAAACAACATTTACAGTTGTTTTCTAGGTATAGTTACTAGAGTAAGTGCAGTGTAGATGCTCTATATTGTACAATCTTGACAGATTTTTACTGGGCTGCTGTGTTCAAAACGTGTCCAGCAGCACAGGTAACTTTGGTTTCTTGAAACTCCAAAATTGGCCTGGCTGTTTTATACAGCTTTGAATCTGATAAAGTCAGCAGTTTGAAGAGGGAATACGGTAACTGATTTAAAAAAAATAAAATGAAAAAAATTCTACCTCAGCCTAATGATTAGTCCATTTCCTTACTATGGAGTTGCAGAAGGCCTTTTAATCCAGTGCCAAAGCCAACACATTCAGTGATTAGGAGAGCCGTTGTTCCCTTGCTCCTTTGTTGGTGTGACTTGACAAAGGAAGGAAGTAAACCGCCTGTCCATGGTGTAGGTTAAATCAGCTCAGCCGTAGACCACTTTCAGATTAAGTGATCAGCATTCAGTTTCTACTCATCTTACAAGAGGTAAAAACTCCTGCTTTCCATTTCAGGAAAAAAAAATAAAATGTAGCCTATTGTGTGAACCTGAAAGTAAATTTTCCTGTAATAAAAAGCCCCTTTTGTATTCTAAATGCCTGGCTTTACTAACAGGTTTCTGTGAAAGCTGTGAATATAAATGGAGTTAGTGCTCTGCTCCAGATTTGAGTTTACTATGCCAGATAACATTTTTCTCTAGATCACCTCCAGCAGCTCTTATGTCTGTCCTGGCCACTCAAGAACTCCTGCTAGAAAACATCCTGGAGTGCATTCCAGTTGGAGAATTTGCAGTTATTCAGCCCCTGAGCGATGAGTTCTGCCTTGTTCTAGGGTATCTCCTCACTTGGAAGTTAACATTAGCTTTCTTCAAAGCAGCTTCTTCTCAGGTAAACGTTTGGACTCTTTTCCTTTTAACTGAATTTTTTAATGTGCTTATTAGAGTTGAATCTTGAAGTTGTATCTAGCATTTCTGTTTTTATTAAATTATGTGTTTTCCTAGCTCTTGTTTTTGTGGAATTAGTGGAATTCTGAAAGCACCAATAGACTTAGATTTCTGCACTGCAGTAGTTAAGGATGGTAATATTAGAGTAACAAAGAATTAAGATTCATCAATAGATGATTCTTTCTGGCATTTTCAAACAAGTTTGCTACATTTTATGATCTTATAATCATTCAAAATAGTGCAAAGAACTAAATCACTCTTCTAAACACTTGTTCTGAATCACAACTTTGGTTTTCTTTTCTACAGAAACGTAGTTGCATTATTTGCAGAGTAAGCTAGTTTGTTAAGTCTCATCTGTATCTTCTGTAGTTTTATTTTTGGTTTTGTTTGTTTTTAACACTCTCAGCTGCGAGTTCTCTACTCACAATACCTTAGAAGAACTAAAAGCTTGAATAAACTGCTTTATCACTTGTTCAGGCTAATGCCTGAAAACCCTGTCTTTTCTGGGCCAACTTCAGAAGTTCCAAATAAGGACACAAAAACCTTCTTTACTGAAGAGCTTCACTTAGATGTTAAAGGTTAGTAAAACTGTATTCGTGCGTTTGAGAGAGTTTTGATATTGCTGTATTTTCTGCTTAAGAATATATATTGAGAGACTCTTACTGTAAAATAGATACAGACACACAGACAAATACATATATTTATAAATCTTACGGTAGGACTCCACATTTGGGGCTTAACCGAAGTTGAAATATTTATTAGAAAAATCAAGGAAAAAACCAAAACCAAACTAACCAGGAAATGCTTAGATTATTCACTTAGGGCAGAAATAACACGTTGCTCCTATCTGAATGCTGAATGTATGCAGAGATTCCAAAATACTAGAAATGTGTGATCTATTCTGGGACTTCTCAATTTCTTCTAGATTTTTTTAAATGCTAAATGGAATTTTTATTTTTTTTCCTTTTATTTTAATACATAAATAAATCAAAATAAAATACAGTTTAATATTTTTTAAAACGTTTGAGATGTTAAATTGTGTGTTGTTTTTGTCACACTGTTCCGAAGACCCAGAGATAATAAACCATGATGAGAGAAGGTAGACTGTTGGGGTTTTTTTAGCTGAGAAACATGAAAAAGAGTACTAGTTTTGAAAATATCTTCATTGAGGTTGTTATTTTATGTACCTGTATAGATGTAAGCAAAGATACTGAGTTTTCATTTCTCAGTTTTTTGTTTGAACATCACTGTATATTGCAGAACAATTTACCTGGATGGCAGTAGGAAAGAATTACTAACATGACATAGCAAGAGAAAGATTTCCCTTATCTCTTTATGCACTTCTGTAGAACACTGCGAACCTCAAATGTGCTCCAAACATCTTACTGTTTGTTCACTCCAAAGTGAGCATTTTGCAATTTCTAGAATGGAAAATTATTCTTGATTTCTGGTAGTCCACTTAAGGTTCATCTCTAAATTAGATGAATTTCCAGTTGTGAAGTGTTAGCCTAAGAAACAAAGAAACCAGACGGACGGAGAAAGGCAGAGCCAAACAGTAACTTACCGTAGCAAATACAAAAGGAGCACGTACATGAAATTCCAGTTACCACAGTTACGTTGATATCAAAATTTTTGTCTGTGGTGTGGAGGAACCAACATTTGTGACTCATATGTTGGAGTATTTTAACATCATTTCTTTCCCTCCCAGGGACAGGAGTGCTGTCATCCCAGATTCCACACTTGGCCTGCTCTGTGTACCATATAACGCTGAAAGACTTGCCAGCCATGGTCAGGCTTTGGTGGAACAGCTGTGAGAAACGTGTCTTCAATGTTGTAGATAAATTTACAAGCAAATATGTCAGCAGCGTGCTTTCTTCACAGGAAATATCTTCTGTTCAGACTAGCACACAGTTATTTAATGGCATGACGGTTAGTAAGACTTCAATTTTTTGCAAACATTTTAAGAAACGTTACTTCTCAGAACCAGGCTGTGTTAGTGTTTTATACGATTGCATTTTTGTTGTTCTGAATGACTGATGAAAACATAATTTAACTTGGTATATTAAGTTGATGATTATTAATATTATGTTTCGGAAAAAAAATAGAAAAGAATGGGTTTTATGATGATGAAGAAGTTGAGGTAAGGGGAACATAGTGCTGTCAATATACTTCTTTTAGGTTTATTAAAAAATTTAATCAGTCAGTAGATTGAAAAATCGAAAAATGGTTGGTAATTTCTTTTTGGATTGCCAAGATACGACTGGATTATTATTTTCATTGTGAAAAGTGTTTTCTTGGTCTAAAAAAAGAATGTGTGTAGTAAGGAATTAATCATTTTTATATATATGTGTGTGTGTATATATGCAAAAACCAAACTAGAGATGGTGCATATCTTTCTGTGGATTTTTTTTTTTTAACATGTACATTTTCTTATAGGTAAAGGCTCGATCTGCTGCACGGGAAGTCATTGCTACCTATTCAGTTGATGATATATTTATTGAACTAATAATACAGCTTCCATCAAATTACCCACTGGGTTCCATAACAGTTGAGAGTGGAAAGAGGGTTGGTGTGGCTGTACAGCAGTGGCGCAATTGGATGCTACAGTTAAGCACGTATCTTACACATCAGGTGAGTTTAGGGACTAAAGCCCATAGTTTTGAAAACTTAACAGTCCCGATAATAGAAAAATATTCCTAGTAATGTAATATTATTTAGATTTGTATGATGGATCTCCTCAGTAGATCTCAAAGGACTTCATAGAATTGGTCACTCTTACCTTCTGCTTTTCTCCAGATGCTGAAACAGAGAGGTATAATTCCTGTTAAATCCACAGCCAAAGTTGAGTATTTAGGTCTCTTAAGATACGGGCTAGTGTTTGCCCTGTGTTGCAATGTCATCTCAACTATAATTTGAAGAAAACAAACAACACAGTACACTAAATTATCTAAAAAAATTGGTCATTGCTGAAGTTGCATCATCTGTGGTTAGAGTAAAACAAAACAGGGATGGAAAATTTTAAAATCCCCTTTTAAGTGCTTGTCAGTGCATTCTTTTCATTGTGATGAGTGCTTGCATTTCCAAAGATTAAACTATCATCTGTAATTAATGTGTTGACCTTATAAATTTCTCACTGCACATATGGCATATAATTTCAGATTGTAAAACCTTTGAGCTTTGTTTCCTTCATGTGCGTATGAGTAACAGTAAGAATATTCTGAAGGAATTCTACAGTATTAACAGCTCTTTTCCCTCTGTTAGAATGGAAGTATCATGGAAGGCTTATCTTTGTGGAAAAATAATGTGGATAAACGTTTTGAGGGTGTTGAAGATTGCATGATATGTTTTTCGGTCATTCATGGTTCCAACTATTCTCTTCCCAAAAAAGCTTGCAGAACATGCAAGAAAAAGTTTCATTCAGCTTGCTTGGTAAGTACCTAGACTAAATGTTTTCAAATAGGCAAAATACCCATTTATAGTTTGAGTCAGGAACTTCTATTGTAATACCATCAATTCTCCATTATGTTGTTAGAGTATCTGGGATTAACTGAACTCATAAATTATTTGTATGGATTTTGTACTAAGCTGTTGGGGCATGCAATGAGAGCAGGGTCTCTGCACTTACCTCGTTACCGATAATAACTATCCATTTTGTTCACTAAGACATAAGCCATTACGTAGGGTGTAGCAACAGCATTTGTTGTTATCGGCTCAGATATGGAAATAGAAAAAGTTAAATTTAAATTTATGCAGCATGCTCTTTAATAAACTATGCTGATATGGATAACTAACATTTAACTATATATCCAAGTTATCATAGGCATTGGTTGTATGATTGCAGAGTATACTGGAACAGGTTGGCATCTGTGTTGACCATAGAATGGAGGAGTTATTGCTGCTTTAAAAATGCCAGCTTTTTATTCTAAAATGGGACTGGATAAGAATTCCTTTGTATCAGGTTTTTTAGAATGAAGCTTTAGTATAGTGTGTGTATGTAATATCGTAGAATCATAGAATGTGTTGAGTTGGAAGGCACCTTTAAAGGCCATCTAGTTCAACTCCCTTGTTATGGCTTTTTTTAAAGTATAGTTAATGTTTTGATAGTTATATTCATTGGCAAATAATAGTTGTCACTGGTGATAAACCAGCGCTCCTGATATTCAGCTTGCATTTGTATAGTAAACAGTTGTATTTCTCTTTCAGTACAAATGGTTCACATCCAGCAACAAATCCACCTGTCCACTCTGTCGAGAGACATTTTTCTGAAAACAGCCTTTCCTCTTTCTGTGAGCTAAGTAATACATGAAGAGAAGACAATAACTATGTTGAAAGGAGCTAACTACTTGGAAGAAATGTCAGTTCCTTTAAGTTCTTGACTAGTGAGATATGACACGTACTTTACCTCTGGACTGTTTTTTGTAAGTTTGAAGACTCTTCTTTGATATAAAGAAATATATAAGAATAATTTATTTTCATTTGTATATTTTTAAGGTATTGAGATATGTTAAAAATGCAGAAATAATTTTAGAGTTATGTCTGAAAAGTGGTGTTTAAGCCACAGCATAGTTGATTAAAACCTCTTATTTTAGGGATATTCTAACATGGTGTTATGCACTTAACCCAGATCATACCTCTTAATATAGCAGGGGAATTTAACATAGGTGGTATAAAGACTTGATTTTTTTATTATAGTGTGTTCATAATAGCTCCTCTTATGGGGGAAAAAAGAATATTGCTGCTAGACATTAAGGCATGGAAGTAGGGTTATAACCTTCTGTTAAAGCCTAAAATTTAAACATAGCATGCTCTAAGTTACCATGTTGATAAATTGAGCTTCCATCCTTTAATGGTCTCATTTTCCCTAAAACCTCAGCCATCTAGCACCCTAAAAACATGAAAACTCAGAAGCCCAAGTAAGTAGAGAGAGTACAATCATTCCAGCATGACAATGGAAAACACTACCTGTTGGTTGCCTATTGGCTTTTAAAGAGAAGGCACATGCACTCATCAATTCTTGGTTTTGTTACTTCAGTCAATGTCTTCATTAGCTGGCAAATTAACTATCACCAAATCTACACTGTACTTCCACTGTCTCATAATAATGAACATGATGCATCACTACTTACTGTTGTCTTCAACTTTAAATTTTTCATGCCTTTTTGTTTTTTTAACAGTAGTAGTATACGAATATATTCTAACCTGGATGGTATTTGTGGCAGATTTCTTTGAAAAGTCAATAGAAGGGGAGGAATAAATTACTTCTGTCAGTCTCTGTAGTCTCTGAATTGCTGTCTCTTCATCTGTGTGATAAACGTTCAGAAGTCAATCGTATAAATTTTCAGATGTCCAGTTTATAGTGTACTCAATTGGTTGTACCTGAACAGCAATTTTTTTTAATATTCTGTTGGTCTTTCTTGAAGTGAGAGCTCTAGAAATTATTTTTAGCTGTTGTTCAAAATACAGACTTAAATTACCAGGTAACACTGGGCTTCCAGAAGAGAAATTTCTTGACGTATTTTGAGAACGAGAGAATGGAAAGGATTTAAAACTGGTATTGAGAAGGTCTAAGTGAAAACACAGATTTAAGGAGCAAGCTGTATTGCTTTCATAATTATGGATACTCAACCTCCAGGATTGTCCCTAGTGTATCACTTTGTTTCAACCAAGACTAGTTATCCTAAATTACTTATTTGCAAATTCAGTAACTGATTTGAAGGCTAGTTGTGTTTAACCAGGTATTGCTTGAAAAGAGCCATCTTAAACTCCTCTAGCAGACTTTAACTTGCAAATTTTCTACCAGTAACAGCCTTGTGGAGAGCTTTGGCCTCAGTTCTGGTAGAACAAAGAAGTGAAGGCCCTTGCAAAGCAGCAGTAGGTCTTTTGACACTGGTACTTGCTGACAGAGATGTGCCTGGGGAGCAGAATTTTTGCTTGCTTCTTGCCAAGTTTGACACTCCTTTGAAAGCCTGTGTGTGCCATGCAGCTTATTCTCATGTGCACTGAATGCAGGAATATCCCTCCCAAAACTCTCCAGAAACAGCGTTGCATTCTTTGGTCTTCTAGAAGGGAATACGTGTGGCCTGGCAATGCCACATGCAGACAGACCTCTGTGTAGACATAGCAAGTTTCAAAATTTAAGAAAACAAAAAGAAGTTACCTGGCTTGTTACTGGTTCCCAGTCTTCACCAGGATAATGGGAACATAATAGGAATCAGTTCTTACAGAACTCACCCATGCTCTTGGATTGCATTTTGACAAGTGCTTCCGCTAAAGTTGCAGCACACAGCAATACAGTGCAGCCAGGAGAACTGAGTGATGATTTATTAAAGTGGACACATACATTTTCTTGTCCAAATATCCAGTGGTTAGACAGTCCAGTGCAAGTCTTTTTCGTTGAAAGCATGTTATGTATTATTACATGTTCTGTTCTGATCTTCTGTTCTGATTTTCATTATTCTGTCCTTTATAAGTTAAAACCACATATGCTGATGACCATCGTGATCTACTGTGCCAGGTGACTGCCCTTTTTTGTTTTAGATTACCACTTTTAAAGCTAATTATTTAACTGGAACTAAAAGCAAGGTAGATTAACTAAAAACTGCTTTTGTTAAAATGGTAGTTTGATTCTATTATGTGTTTTGACTACATCTTAAAATTATCTTTTGGTGTTGTGACTTTTGCTCAACAACCTAAAATTTGTTAGCCAAAGTAGTTAACAACATAAAACTAGAGCGGTCTAAGGATGACAGCATTTTGGTTCAAACAGCTCTATGGCTATAATTATCACCTCAAAACCCATGATTCTATGTAAAGGCAAACTGGCTAAGTATAAAACCCCCTCTCCTTGCAGTTTTGTAGGGGAGAACTGAACAAAAAAAAAGTGTGGCTTAGCAAAGATCTTCCATCAGGTCAAAAAGGTTGTAGATGTAGGAGGCAGTCGAACTGAAATACGACTTCTCAAAACTGACTAGTTGGTAAGCTGCACGAACAAACCTTCGCTTCAGTTCTTCAATGGAAACCTGTGGAAATGTTATTTCACAGATGGCCACAAAGTTTACTCTCAGTTTCTCACCTTTGGCATTCCTTAGACAAGTGTGGTGGGTTCACCCTGGCTAGACACCAGGTGCTGGTCAAAGCCGCTCTATTGCTCCCCTCCTCAGCTGTAGAGGGGAGAGAAAATATAAAGAAAGGCTCATGGGTTGATATAAGGACAAGGAGGGATCACTCACTAGTTACCATCATGGACAAAACAGACTCAACTTGGGGAAATTAGTTCAATTTATTACCAATCAAATCAGAGTAGGATAATGAGAAATAAAACCAAATCTTAAACCACCTTTCTCCTACACATCCCTTCTTCCCAGGCTCAAGTTCTCTCCCAGTTTTCTCTACATCCTCTCCCACAGCAGCACAGGAGGACAGAGAATGGGGGTTGCAGTCAGTTCATCACATTTTTTTTGCCACTTTCTTCCCCGGCTCCAGTTCTTCATGAACTTCTCCAGCGTGGATCCCTTTCATGGGGTGCAGTCCTTCAGGAACAGACTGCTCCAGTGCAGGCTTCCTATGGGGTCACAAGTCCTGCCAGCAAACCTGCTCCAGTGTGGGCTTTTCTTTCTCCAAGGGTCTACAGGTCCTGCCAGGGTCCTACTTCAGTGTAGGCTTCCCATGGGGTCACAGCCTCCTTTAGGCATCCATCTGCTCCAATGTGGGCTCCTCCATGGGGCTGCAGGTGAATCTCTGCTCCACTTTTAACCTCTGTGGGCTGCAGGGGGACAGCGTGCCTCACCATGCTCTTCACCATGGGCTGCAGGGGCATCTGTTCCAGCACCTAAAGCACCTCCTCCCCATTCTTTTTCACTGACCTTGGTGTCTGCGGAGTTGTTTTTTCACACTCTCACTCCTCTCTCCCAGCTGCAATTGGTCAGTTGCACAGCAACTTTTTCCCCTACTTAAATACGCTACGGCAGAGGTGCTACCACCATCACTGATTGGCTCAGCCTTGGCCAGTGGTGGGTCTGTCTTGGAGCCAGCTGGCATTGGCTCTATCAGACACAGGAGAAGCTTCTAGCAGCTTCTCACAGAAGCCACCCCTGTAGCTCCTCTGCTACCAAAACCCTGCCATGCACACCCAATACAGCAAGTTATTCAGAAGCTAAGAATCAAAGTCTTGAGTCCCAGTCTCACTTTGGTCAATGAAACACATTTTTTCTGGACTCATAGTTTCAAGTATTAGAATTTCTTGTATAGAGCATAAATGTTGAGTAACAATGTGACTGAGTCTTCCCTCTAAACCCTCCCACTGTGTGTTTGTATTCATGTTTATCTATATAAAAACAGACAAAAAAGTGACTGAAGGGGATTCATTAGCTGTGCTTGAATTGCTGAACTGAATTCCAGTGTTGCTCTTCAGTAGTCATCTGAGCTGGGGAACAGTGACCCTTAGGATGTGAAACAATCGCCACTGCACACTTGCTGCTATCCAGTCCTTTTTGTGTTTTTGTTCAGGATGGTGTAAGCCACATTTACAGCAGACCAGCATAAGTTGACTTCTGATCTGTCAGTCAGAAGTAGCTCTTCACATGCCTTTGTGGTAAATGCCTCAAATGGTCTAGGTAGGTTTGCAGTCATGTTTCTGCTAACAGCACCTATGTGTTACTCTGCCTGTCCAAAAACGCCTTTTTCTAGATGCATTTTTTGGATGGTCAGTTAAAACATGGTAGATCCTTCAGTATCTGTGCACATTTACTTCTGAAGTCTTAAACAGAATAGTATTTTCAGTGCCTTGGCATCCTACAAAAAAAACCCAAACAACAAAAAAACCCAACAAAAAACCTCAAACCCTTGGACCTTAGTCCCCATAAAGAGCTAGCTAATGGTTCATCATAACATCACTTAAAGTTTCTGTTGACACAAACCCTTAAAGGTCAGGTTCTTTGAAAGGGTTCTCCCAGACAATACTAGCGGTGCTGCACACCTCAACAGTGTCTACCTTTGTGCTGCATGCGAGTGAAACACCTGCCTCACAGGACTCTACCCACCGCACAGCATGGATCTCCTCGTGCTGCTGGGACAACGCTGTATTAAAACCTTCTGTGGGCACCAGGAGAGGGAAGAGGCTGCAGAGGAAATGTCTTCATCAGGGTCTGGCGGTCAGGAAATAGCTTCCTCTTCTCAATAATGATTTTAAGAAAGGAGTTTGATTCCACATCTCTACTTACAGTCATTGTTTTCAGCTGCCCAGCAACCAGTCTTTTTAATAGCATGTTATGTACTTTTTTCCTCTTTAATACCTTTTCACAGACAAGAACGGTTCACCTAGTCTACATCTCCATAGCAGTACCCTCCTTGTGAAATGACATAAAAGGAGCACAAAATTGCCCAGAGAACTTGAGGAGAGTAAGAGCTGGCCGCTGTCCCTGCACTTGAGATACACTTACTGCATCCTTCTGTTCAGAAGTACAGTGTCTCCTTAAAACAGAATCAAACTCAGTAGCTGTGCCTTAGACCTGTAAAAAAGCCCGATGCTACATCAAAATGAGTAATGCTGATTCCAAGTATTCATTTAAACCCTGCATAAGTAGCTATTAAAACAGGAAGAGTTCTATCAAGTACATTATTTCAATAAGCCAAAATAGACAAATATGTATTTATATAGGAAAAAAGTCTTTAGTGTGCAAGTGCAAATGCAACAAGGTGGGGTAGTTCACTGTTCCCCCACAACTGTCCTGCAGCTAGAGAATGACTGTACCTCTAACAGCAGATAATAGCTGGTTAATATCCAGAATAAAAATAAATAGAGAGTCTTGGTCAGTTTCACTGCAGGGATCAGGAAATGCAAATACACGTTAAGAAGGTGAGAATCTTGGCTTAAAGACCGATTTGATAACTTCAGTACGCTGTGCTCAACTTTCTGCTTGGGAGGTCAAGAGCAGTCATCAAGGCTTCCTAAATTTGAGGATAGTAAGCATCTCTTGTCCTGCTTGTCTGGAAAGTACTCGTGTGCCTTCTAAGCCACATTTCTTCATTGTTTCCAGAATTTCATCTGTAATTGAAAGTGCAGTGTTACAAATGAGTTTATGTAGAAATTGGCTGTAAAAGGCAGTGATAATGTATCTGCCAAACAAGCTGTAAAGCCAAATTTGTAAATTGTGTCCTCTTAACTCTTTTAGACAGTAATTTTTATGCAAAGTAGTCTTCCACCAAGAACAAAGTACCATTTACTAACTGAAGTTCTGTATTTTGGCATTATTTATAGTCACTAAGCATTAGATCAGAAGGAGTAAATCTGAATCTTTTCTCTATGCATGTTAAAATGAAAGACATGTTTCCAGCTGATGGCCTTTGCCTTTCAAGTTGACACCACCATTTTCTTTCATGAGAAAGGGTTGGCATGGCTTTGTTACGTAGTTCAGAAGATTTACAGGCACCTTTCATACTTGGAATTGAAGTCTTGCAGAGCTGCTGGGCTCAGGACAACATATTACCATTTTCCAAACTAGCTTAGGGAGTTCTTAATTTTGGCAAGTTTGCTTATATTTTTGGTCTAGCTCTCCATACACTGGATGCACAAGGCATGCATTCAGAAAAAAGGATTCCAAGAGGCATCAAGGCTATGTAAGATGGACAGATTAGACACCATAGATTAGACACCACATAAACTTGAAAGATGAGTAGCGCAAGAGTCCGCAGCAATGCCATGATTTGTTTGAAGCATGCAGACGCACTGTGGCTGGCTGCAGAATTTCTAAAAAATGACCTAGAACACTTACATGAATTTCAGTACACGCTGTCAATCTGCAATTAGTTGCTATCACCGCATTAGATTCAACTGATGTTAGGTACTGCTTTTTCTTGTTTGCTGAAGTCTCATAACCTACAGAACACTGCTGTGATCAGCATTTTGATTAACAGTGTTAAAACTGGTTTGGCACATTTAGGGGTCCAAGGAAAATGATCACCTGGATTATTTTCTTTAATTGTGACCAAGTAGAATAATCCTCCTGGTGAAAGTAGGACTGGTACTAATGGAAAAACTCTATCCATTACTTCTCTGCCCTTTTTGCCACCAGCCCAGGATGCCTCTATTCCATGGCTTTCCACCTAGGAAGAATGAATACAAAGACTGTCTTAATACATAATGATAGAAGCATCAGTGGTACTTAGAAAGATCACTATGATCTCTACTGTTAGGTGTCTGCTGTTAGAAATCTGACAACTTTGATACAGCAAAATTACTTCAAAACTACTTCCTACATGATGAACATACTAAGTATGTATTTTCTCGGAATGTTTAATGGCTTGTTTGCCAAATGGAAGGTGGTCAGTAAACCCTTCATGTGTTCCTGGGTCCAGTTCCTAGAGTTGGAGCCTGCAGAAGCAGAGGATATTTATTTTGCAAGGAACAAATGCATTTGCCACTGAAAGTCTTCTATAAGAATACTTTAGCGTGCCTAACAGACATTGTACATGGTTTATACTTGATGGAGAAACTAGGTAGTGAGAAGCAGCAGCTAGCAATCCTTATTCCCATGTCGTTTTTATAAGCAACTCTAGTAAACAATTTTCACTAAAGCAGTGCTGTTACAACAGTGCTGGTCCCACAACATCCTTTACTATTTCAGAGAAACCCTGCAGTTTTCATACCAGAACTTACTTGATTTGCCATCTCTCCCCTGACAGTAGAAATACCATTTTATTGCGTATTCCAAATTTTTCCTACCTCTTCAGAAGGTGTTACCACGTACGGTGGATTAAACAGCAGTAGATCAATCTTCCCATTTAATCTTGGAGACAGTCCTTTGACCTATAGATAAAGCTGATGGTTCTTTTGTTGTTGTTTTTTTTATCATGAAGAATGCAAATATTTTGTAAAAGTACAGTTAGGTAGTGCCGGATATTCCAAGCATTTCAGCCTGGCTCAGGAACACTAAACTTTACTTTTTACGTGCAAGAGAAGTGCTAAGAAGTACCCGTGCATAGCAGAAGAATTTCAAGACTATGTTATGTATGGGATGTAGAGGAGCAAGAGACACATATGCAGACACAAAAGTAGCACTTTATTCTTGCTCAGTTCAGAATTTGAGTTAGTTATAAAAGAATTTTGAATTTATCATGGGTTAACATTTGTTACGTGAAATGACCAGTCAGTGACAACTGCAGTTCTGTTTTCAAGTATAAGCAGTTGTTCATCCACTTTAGTTCAATCTGTTGTTGCCTATTTTAATAATCTTTTATAAATATACATATTCCAGATACTCTAAACAAGTATCTTGCTAATGAGATGAAAAACGTAAGCTTTTCTCCATATCAAACTTTGTAAGAAACAAAAAATAACAACATACACAATTCCTAATTAAATCAGGAGCTGAGAACCAAAACCAGTGTAGCATTAGAGGAAGGGCTACGATAATGTCAGGTCACTGCAGAGCTCCTTGTGCAGCATTTTCCAAACTATATCTAGAGAATTTAATTTTTAATTAATTCAATAAGTTTTTAAAGTTTAAATTTGAATTTCTAGAGCTCCAGTAGTTTGGTTTTCCCTTCTTTCAGAAACACTAGCATTTTGTTGGTTTGGTTTTTTTCATTTGTGCTTATTATGAGAATATTTGTTCTAGACTTTATGGTTACTTTTCAGTATCTCTAATAAGTATTAAAAAATACAAAAACCATAAAGAAGATATTGAAACATCCCATCTTACCAAGTCAGTAATGATTGGCTGAAGGTGAACATTGTTAAGCAGAGCTGTCTCCAGTGTACAGTAAGCTGCCATTGGGTTGATATCTGTACATCTAAAAGCAAAATATTACAAAGTGTAAGTTACTGGCTACTGTATCCGGAAGTTTAACCCTGTGACCCACATGCTCATTGATGTACTCCCAATGAAAATATCCTTTCCAGCATCCTTTATTTGCAAGCAAATAGCAAAAAGTAGCCAGTAAAGTACACATAATGTATCAACAGCTAAACTAGTCAACACTGCACTGGAAATTTTAATGACTGCCTGAAACTGAAGTACAGGATTTCCTTTTCAATGCTAGCTCTGCGTAAATACATATGCACACAAGTCTCTAAGAAGAGACTTAGGAGACTAAGTGCCATCACTTAGGTAACTGATGTTGCCATCAGACCACAGTAGAACTAGTCAGTGTCTAAAATTTAGGATTCAACCCAACAAACACATGTGTAAGCTTAGCAACTGTCTAAGAAGTGGGGAAAACTGAATTTAGTCATATGACTACTTAATTGTTACAGAACCTGAAGTAAATAGTTAAAAGGTCTTTTGGCTTTGATTTCCATATCTGTAGAATTGAGCTAATATTTCTTTGTGAAAATAATATTTTTTAAAAATTTTAAAACAAAAACTATACACGTGAGGGCTAAGCATTCCTTATTACTGCATGCAACAGTCTACGTAAATGCTATTATACTTACATGTACAGTGCACTGGATCCGATAATGGAAGAAGCTAGAAATGTTGAAACCACACCAGATCCAGATCCTATTTCAAGGCAGATCTCAACTCTAAAGAGAGAAAACTCTATTTATTATTCATAACCAATAAAAGCACCTGTAAGAGATGCAGAATTAGTCAAGATGGTGTTATAAAACCTACTGCCGAAGTGCCCTTCTCCCAGCCAGGCTGAAATACTTGCTGGCCATCCGGCCTTCAAAGCCTGCATTTTGTCATGTTTCATAATGGCTGCCAGGTCTACTTGTGCCCATACAGACAACTCTTGGTTATCACAAGCCACTCTGGGAAACACACATTTCCCCTGTTTATGGAACGTTAAAGTCTCCATTAACCACACAATCCTGACAGTACAGGCTACATTTCCACAGCATTTATTACACATTTATCACAGCAAGATTCAGCTCCAGCAGAAGTTATGGAAAATCACCATGAAGCCGCACAACAAAAGTAGGACTCAAATGCAGAATACTTCAGGAGAGTTTCAGCCAGCCCTGAACAAACAGCAATGGCAGGCCATTTCAAAATAATCACTCATAAAATTAACTCTCTGGGTGGTATCTATAGCGGTTATAGTTTATGCAGACATACTGCAGCCACTGACACTGAGTAGTGACCCAAGCAGCTATGCAACTCATCAAATTATAGAACCATTAAGGTTGGAAGAAACCTTTAAGATCGTCAAGCCCAACTATCAACCCAACACCAACCACCATGCCCACTAAACCATGTCCTGAAGTGCCACATCTACACGTTTTTTAAATACCTCCAGGGATGGTGACTCAACCTCTTCCCTGAGCAGCCTGTTCCAGTGCCTGATAACCATTTCAGTCAATAAATATTTCCCAATATCTAACCTAAACCTCCCCTGGCGCAACTTGAGGCCACTTCCTCTTGTCCTATCACTTGATACTTGGGAGAGGTGACTGATCCCCACCTCGCTACAACCTCCTTTCGGGTAGTTGGGCTAAAGGCTCTCCTCAGCCTCCTCTTCTCCAGGCTAAACAACCCCAGCTCCCTCAGCGGCTCCTCAAAACACTTGTGCTCCAGACCCCTCACCAGCTTCACCGCCCTCTGGACACGTGCAACCCCTACAGCCTCAGGGTTAAGACAGGAACACTTGTACTCCATTCAAACACGCACTGCCGTCACCGGCCCCTGCGCAGCTGCCCGTAAAACGACTCTCCGGGCTACAGCCGACAAGCTGGGGGCGACGCCACGCTGAGCAGAGCGGTTGACCATCCCTCCCCCCGCCGCGCTCCCCTGCCTCACACTTCTCCCAGGACCCGCGGCGCGGGACCGTTAGCACCGCCCCCCCTCCGGCGGTGCCTGCTGACCCCGCCCTCTCCCCCC